TGTCAGAAAACTTTTTTTCAAAATGCTTTTGCAGGAAATAGAATAGTCGTTAAAAATTTCGTGAGAATATTCTATGACGTCTTGCACTACCTTTCGTGTTACGGAGGTATTATTATACAGTTGTGATATGAATCGTAAAATGCTTAATTCTATAAAATCATTGGATTCACTGCTGGAATCAATCGTAAAACGATTCAGTTCAAAGTGATCTTCAGAAGGAGTAGGTATATCTAAAGTTTGAGTTTCATTTTGAGAGGAAGTTTCATTTATTGTTGCAGGCACACGGGCATATGTGTGCACATAATTTTGAGAATGACTTTTTTGAAAATGTTTATCCAAGGTGTAAATAACGGAAAAAGTGCGAGAGCAAATGCAGCAGGGATAATTTTGTTCTAGCCGGTGGAAATATTTGCATAATTAATTTTTTTGTGACAGATTTTGCAAATTACGGACATGATCTGGTAGGTTTGAACAAATTTTGAACAAGTATCTCATTATTTTTTTGTGAATTTATCCCTTCAGTTCCAACTGGCATTTATTCACCAGATCTAGAATTGAAGGAATAATATGGTCTGATTGGGACTCTATTTTATACACAGCTCTTTGTAAAAAAAGCCAAACATGTTCGTTTTCTGGAGGAAATTTTAAAACTAACACCATATATACTTTAAAACATAAATCTATACCTTTGCTTAATGTTGGCACCTTGTAAATAATCTCGTTAATAACCACGTAAACGCGCTTTACTTCTATGTCCCTTATTTCAACTATTAAATATGGTTGTGTGGCTGAAGCATTTTTTTCATTTCTTTCGGTAGTGCTTGCAATCACACCTTCAATATCTTGTGAAGTCTGAAAATTTTAGGTTAACTCTTTTTAAGTTAGTAATAATTACCTTACCTCAATTCGAATTAAAATTGAACTTCGTATTTCTTCTAAAGTTGGTTTCCACTGTTTTCTTTTTGAAATCTTTTTTGACTTGCAGGGAATTAGTGACGCTAGTAGATTAATTTTAGTGTATAGCTTATATTCTGAAAAGAAAAGAAATATAAATAAATGCAACATGGTAAAAGTTGTCAATCATTAGTTACCTTCATTAGTGTTAGAGTTATTAGCTATATCCAATAACAAAAGGTCATGTTGTGTTAGGAAACTTTTCCTTATTTTCATGAGCGTATCATATACATTATACAGGATTAAAGTTTTGGTAAAACAGTTCTGCATTTTCAGGGTACAATGCTTGAAAATCGCAGTCAATCTAAAACATTTTCGAGATTTTCTTAAAATTTTTAAAGAAATACTCCATACCAGGGTGTGCCCAAGACTGCATTTTAATATAGGCCAACTGTCTCCTAAGGATATAAAGTGATCTCTATCTTCAATCAAAGATTTTCTCCTTTGTGTGAAGCAGTTTTTCCAGCGCTTTACGACCTCATCCCACGGCTCCACATTGTTATTTAGCCAAATGATGTCTGCCTTATCTGTGTACAATAAAATTAAACGAAATGTACCTATATACATGTATATGCTTACCACTCGATAAATCATCAACAAATTGGGGATTCTCTATAACACTTCTTGCCTTAGTTTGGTAGGCTATTACATTTGCTTTTCTTAAAAAGCACAATTTATTCTTATATTTATCAAAAAGTTTTCCTTTTGCTAGTTCGGATCGGTTTTCTCTGGACTTATATTTCAGGACAGGAGGACAATAATACACCTCTTTCTTTTCATTGGGAAAGAGATCTACTATTTTATCACTTAATATGTTAAAATCGCAATTAGATAATCTCCTAAAATATAAATATAAATAAACGTCCAGTTTCAATCCATTACATAAACAGGTATACAGGGTGGTTAATAACAGATAATTTCGATAAAAATAAAATGAAGGCGTGTTCGGAAATACGCCCCAAAAAAATGTGGCAGAAAGAATATTTTATTTTTCTTTAAATAACGGGTTCTCTAGAAAATTCTAGAGATGTTTCCGACCACGCCTCCGTTTGATTTTTATCGAATTTATCCGTTATTATATCACCACACTGTATTTGTTAAAATTATATACGTACCCTACATCACTATCCAAAAAGTAAGTGGCAATAGCGTCAACTAAATAACTTTGGCTAATCGAATCTAAATAGTTCTTAATTTTATAAATATTTAAGATTGCTTCTCCGTTTTCGTTTTTTCGAGCAGTTCTTTTAAATTAAATTGTTGAATATCATTTTAGTAGAGTTCCCACTGCCATAAATTGTGACTTTCGTTTACACTTCGGGGTTAAAAGCTGAAACCAATTTTAAATGATGCATGATCATTAGAAATATCGAAATCCAGAAGGCCTCAAAAATCGTCCTGTACGGGGTGGCTCTATAGGGTAAATTGTAAAAAACACCCCACATTTTTTTTTGCATATTTTGAATTTATTGAATATATACTTTGCACTGCCCATAGCTCAGGTATGTGAACCCGATACAACTATTTATTATTTAGTGTTTTTTACGAGCACGGGATTAAATGAGGAATCTTAACTTTCGCCGGCGTCTAACGAACTCGACCGTAATATTTTGACAAATTAGCGCTTCAACTCGTCGTATCTAATTTATTTGCATCCTGATCAAAAAATATCCATTAATATCGTTGTGGAGCGTATTCTGGACATTCTGAACCACTATTTGTAATTCACTTCACATTACCGAAAAGTTTTGTATCGATTTATTTATATAAACGCGCGCCTATGACTGAGTAAGGACGATTATCGCTTGCGCATATGCATACACGCGGTTTATAAGGCAGAAAGTCGCGTATCTCCCTACTTGTGTATATTAAAAACGTTCTGGATATTAAATATCCCAGTCACTGTTTATTTTTTTAGATGCAAATTTTATACTATATAATTATTTAACATTAACGCAAATACTTAATCAGAATCTACGAGTAGTGCCGATTCGGATGTTTCTTGAGAGGTTTTCGAAATAATCTGAACCTTTTTCGTGAAAGAATTTCTGCAAGTGGGCTTCCGTCCCATACATTTACAGAAGCCAATGCACGGTAATTGCTTTTTTGAGCACGAACAATGAAATCTGGAACATCCTAAAAAATAAAGTTATGTAAAATAATACAAAGACAAAATGTAATTAACAAAAACCTTTTCTGCAGTTACATTTACCCAAAATAGATCTATCAGCTGCAGGCATTGATGGTTTCGTTGTAACCCCAGTAGCACATTTATATTGGACTAATATTGGCTTCGGTATATTGAACCAAGAAAGCAAGCGACAGATTTTGCAATATAGGTTTAATATGAATATCAAATACTGGCTTTATAATTAACCATTAATATTGGGCCAACACTGGCACTAGCATGTCACGCCAATATAGAATCGACAGATTTTACAATATTGGCGTTATATTAAGTTTTAATAGGTATGATGATATGGAGCCAATATTACTGCTAGCACATTTGTCCAATTAAGTGAGCAGGAGATTTTGCAATATAGGCATGAAACATTACCTTTACATTAACAAATAATATTGAGGCAACATTAACGTCAGCATTTTACTCCAATATATAGGTATCAGATGAATATGAAGTATTACCTTTATATTAACAACAAATATTGGGGTAACATTGGTGTTAGTATTTTGGACCAATATAGTATTTGCAATATTGGTGTTATATTAAGATATAACATTGGCGCAATTATATTATGCCAACATTAGTGGTAGTATATTTGTCCAATAAACGTAAGCAGGTTTTGCAATATTGGCGTTATATTAATATAGAATAAACTGCAAATATTGTAAACTATTTTATATACCTTAGCGTTAGTTAAGTACGACACCAAACTTCAAGGGGTCGTTCTTTGAGTGATTTTACGACCAAATGTTTATATAAACACAAGTCAGTAGTTCACTTTTTTGTCAAAAGTATGAGTTATGGTGTCTCCGATGACGCCACTGGACATAAATAATTTTGCTACATTACTCCCTTTCTACCACAAATACTGCCAAATGATTGAGTTTTTCGAAAAAAGTTTGACACCGGTATCTTGTAAACGAACATCGCACCAATGTTATATAAATTTTTCGCTTTAAATCACTCAAAGAACCAACCCTTGAAATTTGATCACACACTTAACTAACGCCTTGTATATACAAAATAGTTTAAAATATTTAATATTATAATTATAATATACGTATAACCAAGTATTCGATTGTATAATGCTCTTGAATTCTTTCCCATTTACTGATCAATAACCTTTATTTCGTTCTATGAAATTATTTTTTGTCAAGAACGTTTTTATAACGTATACATATTGCATGGCTTTAGTAAAAAAGAAAAAGAAGTTTCCTGTAATTTATAAAAAGCTCGATAAAATAAATTTTTTGAAATATGAAGAACTATTAAACAAAAAAAATTCTAAAAACTAAACCAAATATGTACATTACTTAAACATTTTCCAAAAACAAAAAAAAAATATTATCAAAGACAGCACAAGGGGAACAAAAAAGGCAGAAAAATTTAACGAGCTTTTTCAGATTCAAAAACCAAAAATATTAAGATTTAAATTAAATTAAATTTGTAATAAATCTTGTACGGATGAATCTTTATCTACTTCTTCGTTGCGTCTTGGCCCCCTGAATTTTCGGCCCCCATCTCGGTCCCCTGAGACAGCCAAGAACGCAGATATTGCCCTTTTGATTTGTAAATATGTTACGTCAGGAAACTTTCTATGAACAACCACTGTAGGGTACGGTGGGCTAAGAGTACGCGTCGGTTAAGAGTACGAATCAAAATTTAATAACCTATAATTAGTTTATATTACCGGCTAGTACAACCAATATTTGCTTTGTGATAACGTCTATCCCGGGTAAAAATATTAGTTTTATATTGTGAAAACGGTAGCTGCTGTGGTAAGTTTATTATTCCTTAGTGTTTTGATGTAATTTTTGTTACTTTTTATTTGAAAGAAATTGATATTTACAGTAAAATAACAGTTTCTTCCATTTCTTAGGTTATGTTGCTATTTCAATAGGTATACATGTTGTGGCCAATCATAGCGCGTTGATTAACGCGGGAGTTTCAAATAATTAAATTATTTTTGCATGCCATGTCGGCTAAGAGTCCGCACCAGTGCGCATCCAAAGAGTGCGCAGTTTGAGAATGCGTACTCTTGGACGACTAGTAATTTATACGTATTTCTTTCTAGTTTTAAATGGGTAAATACAAAAGGAAAAGTGAAAGAAAACTAGTTTTCACCGAAAATATTCTACAATCTATTAGAGAGAGGATTGCCAACGGAGAAAGTAAGCGGCATATCGCAGAGACCTTGGGAATACCGGAGTCAACTCTCCGAAAACGACTAAAATGTGGGACAGTTCCTAAATCCCTTGGCAGATTTACTGCAGTATTTAGCGCAGAACAGGAAAAAGAACTGGCTAACCACATCCGCAAATTAGATTCTATGTTTTATGGCATTTCACAAAAACAATTACAATTTGCTGCATATGTGTATGCTGAAAGAAAACAACTTCATCACCGTTTTAACAAAAGTAAAAAAATGGCAGGAAAAGACTGGATTATAGACTTCAAGAAGCGTCACGGACTTACACTTAGGCAACCTGAAAAAACTAGTCTTGCCAGGGCGGCGGGTTTTAACAAAGTGCAAGTCGGGAGATTTTTTGACAATCTTAAAAGTTTAATTACAACCCATAAATTTGAACGAGCTCAAATTTATAACATGGATGAAACCGGGCTTCTCACGGTTCCGAATAAAATGCCTAAAGTACTAACTAGCAAAGGGAAGAAATCTGTTGGAAAAATTGTTTCCGCGGAAAGAGGTGGGTGAACTATTTCTTTTAAAGTCAATAATATTACCATTAAAAACTTTTTTTTATTGCAGGTACTTTAGTTACAGCTGTGTGCTGTGTCAGTGCAGCAGGTCATTATATACCTCCCGCATTAATCTTTCCAAGAAAAAGAGAGAAACAAGAACTGCTTGATGGCGCTCCTGCAGGATCGATATTGATGGTATCAGATTCCGGCTTTATTAATACCGATTTATTCCTAAAGTGGCTTAAGCACTTCAAATCATCTGCCAAAGCTTCACTAGAATCAAATCATGTTTTGCTAACTCTCGATAATCATAGTTCACATATAAGCTTGGAAGCAATTTTGTTCTGCAGAGAAAACGGGATACAACTACTGAGCCTTCCGCCGCATAGCAGCCATAAGCTGCAGCC